CCCAGATAGAACCATCCTAGCAGACTGTGCAAATCTACAGGCTTATCTTGGTTGAGCTCAATAAAGTTGAGTTGCTTCCATGCTTAGAATGGGATAAATTAGGTAGCTTGTCATCCCAGAATGTATAGGCTCAGCACTGGTATTGAGAGACTTTGGCAGGAAGATAAAAATAGAAATGCTAAGATAAGGCTTTGCCAAGAACTGCCTGCCTTTCATCCTCTATCAATGATTTACCCAGGTCTCATCAACCAGAAAGACAAGATGCTCCTCGTGACAAACTAGAAAATACTGATAGCATTAACTCCTAATTTCTCCATTAATGAGAAATTAGAACTCATTAATCGTGAAAGTAGTTCATATACATATATAGTATCTTTTATAAATGTATATGTATGTGTATTTATTTCATATACATATGCATTTATTAAGTTTATTATATTATACACACATATGTATATTTGATACATAATAAATCTACCTTCTCTGTGTTTGTTTAAGTTTGTGTGTGTGTGTTTAGTGTCAACATCTAAAAAAGTAATACCTATATTAGTTTTAAGAAATTCGATTTTTCAGTTTTTTCAATTAAACTCATTTGTAATTTATTCACTTGTATTAACTCTGGTGGCCAAACAGCAAAAGGGTCGTTAAGTTTTGTTTTTGTTTTAATTTGTGAAAAGAGGAAAATTATATAGAGAAAATGCTATCCTTTTTTCGTAGTGTTTTCCCCCCTCAGCTTTTGGGGGAAAGGCATAACCAGACTTGCAAATCATAGTACTAGAAGAATTTTAGAACAGGGACACGTGGAGAATCTATGGTACTTCCTCAAGAGCAAATGAAGAGAAGCACCGGAGTGGTCTTTAAAGACATAACTGCCAAAGTCCGTGTAGGCAGGAAGGGAAATTCCCTTCTGAAGGAGAGCTCTGTGAGGCTTTGAGCAGCCAGAGCCAGTGGTAGAGGCCAACTGACATAGGTGTAATCTAAAGGGGACCTGAGAGGGCCCTTTGGGCCATGCTAGCCAGACCAATCAATATGTCTATCTGTCTTTCTCTCTCCTGCTTTTTCTCCTCTTTTACATTCCTTTCTTGGCTGTGGGTATAAGGGCTTTTCTCAGTTTTAGGTTTGGGATTTTTACTAATTCCCAAGGAAGGGCCTGAGGCCGCTGTGCTTGTTTGCCCAACTGCGCAGTGAGGACAGGTGAGGGATGAAGGTGTCCCCAGAGTCCAGGCTCCAGCGTTGGATTTGACTGGCATTTTCGGCCTTTTAACCTTTCTTCTGTACAGAGAAATAGCCATCTGCTTGTACTCCCATCTCTTGGAAGGGAGAAGCGGGGAAATGTTTGAGTCAAAGAGCACTTATATGTATCTTATTGTTGGAAAGGCTGTTTTGAGGGACTCATAGTCAGACTGTGGGCTGTGCCCTCTCTAGGGCTTTGGAGGAGAGAGCTTGGGTCATTACACTCACTTTTGAAATGCACTGATTGTTTTCATCTTAATTGAAATGTTCGAATATTTGCTATGCCTAAGGCTACAGTTGTGATTGAGAGGGAAAGCCTTTGACAGAATTTATTTAGATTCTTCAGGTCAAATCTCAGTCTACTCTCAGAACTCGTTACGAGCTGACGAAGCATTGAAAGCACTCAGTCATTTGTGCCAGGAAATTTCGAAGACAGCTATTTGGCCAACTAACTGGAAGAGATCCGTGTTTGTCCCCATTCCAAAGAAAGGGGACCCAACAGAGCGCTCAAACTCTAGAACCATATCACTGATGCATGCAGGGACACTTTTCTGAAGATCATCTAACAACGGTTGCAGCAGTACTTTGACAGGAAGCTGCCAGAGGTTCGAGCCAGATTCAGAAGAGGACGTGGAACAGGGGATGTCATTGCAAATGTCAGATGGGCCGTGGCTCAAAACAGAGAATACCAGAAAGAGGTTACATGTGTTTTATCAACTATGCCAAGGCATTCCACTGTGTGGATCATAACAAACTATGGATAACCTTGAGAAGAGTAGGAATACCCGAGCGCTTGATTGTGCTTGTGTTAGTCTGGGTAGACTAGAGAAACAAATCCATGGACACACATATGTGTATCATAAAGAGATTTATATACAAGAGCAATTGAACATGGAGAAAATATCCCAGCCCAGTCCAGATCAAGTCCGTAAGTCTGATATTAGCCCATATGTCCGATACCAATCTATAAAGTCCTCTTCAGACTCACGTAACACATGCAATGATGCTGAATATAGAAGAGCACAGGCCAGTGGGTAGAAAGTCTTTGGATCCAGTGTCATTGGAAACATCTCAGCACTGGCAGAGGTCTCTGCATCAGGGTGGGTCCATGTGTCTTGTCAGCTGCTATGTCTCCCAGGGTGTGAGTAGAGAGGTTCCCACCTCCAAGGAGGAAATACCAGATTTCCCAGAATTCTCAAGAGAAGGCCATGCCCACACAGAAGCCTCATTGGCTGTGATCCGATTGACAGACTAGACTCCACCCCTTCACTCATAATCCTCTCAAATTGACAATTACATAACTACCACAATGCTGATGCTGAACTTGTACATGGATCAAAAAAATACTAAATGGTTTAAAATCAGGAAAGGTGTATGACAGGGTGTGTCCTCTCACCAAACTTATTCAGTCTGTACGCTGAGCAAATAATCAGAGCACCTGACTTATATGAAGAAAAATACTGCATCAGGATTGGAGGAAGGCTTATGAACAGCCTGTGAGCTGCAGATGACAGGATCTTGCTGGCTGAGAAAGCAAGGAGGACATGAAGCACTTGCTGATGAAGATCAAAGTTTGCAATCTTCATTATGAATTACAACTCAATATAAAGGAAACCAAAATCCCCATGATTGGACTGATTGTTAACATCATGAGCAATGGAGAAAAGGTTGAAGTTGTCAAGGATTTTATTTTTCTTGTATCCAAAATGCTCATGGAAGCAGCAATCCAAGAGATCCAAAGACATGTTGCAGTAGGTAAATCTGCTGCACGAGACCTCTTTACAGTATTGAAGAGCAAGGCTGTTACTTTGAGGACTAAGGTGCGCCTGACCCAAGCCATGGTGTTTTGTGTTGCCTCATATGCATATGAAAGTTGGACATTGCATAAAGAAGACCAAAGAAGAATTGATGCCTTTGAATGGTGGTGCTGGAAAAGAAAATGCCATGGACTGCTAAAAGGACAAACCAATCTGCCTTGGAAGAAATAAGGCCAGAGTTCTCCTTGGAGGCAAGGATGACACGACTTTGTCTTTCGTACTTTGGACATGTTGTCAGAGAGACCAGTCCCTGGAGAAGGACGTCATGTTAGGTTAGAGAGTCAGTGAAGGAGCGGAAGGCCCTCCAAGAGATGGATGGACACTGTGGCTACCACAGTGGGCTCAGGCCCGGGAACCCTTGTGAAGATGGCCCAGGATGGGGCCGTGTTTGGTTCTGTTGTGCATCAGGTCACTGTGGCTCAGAAAGGACTTGATGGTCCCCGACGACAACTCCCAGAACTCAGCAGAGCCTCAGAAAGCTCTTGTTGCATTTTTATGCATGCAGGCCCCTCTTGGCCGTCCTCTTTAATAATC